CAGCAAGCCACTGTGTTTTTCTAAGCTTCATTTGTCTCATGTGCAAGGCAGAGATGGTGACAAGGGTGTCTGTGTCTATGAGCTGAGGGGCTGGGTTTGCATGTGTCAGAACTGAGTGGGGATGTTGAAGTGTTCTTCCTTTCCTGCCTTGGGTGATTCTGCTAACACCTCAAAAGCTACAAATGAAGTACCCAGAGATGCAAAACTAGTCATTCGTACTGTGGCAAAAGAGGAGCAGATGGTGTGCAGGTGGAAAACATGCATGCTCATGAGGCTACAGACAACATTCTGTACCGTTGTCACCCAGACTAGGCTGGGGCAGGCCAGGAGCAGGAGTTGGTTAAACCTACAACTTGCTCCCCAGCAGAATCTTTCTTCTACAAACTTACATTGTCATTTTCTACCTTCCCACATCAAAAACTATCCCCAAATGGATTAAAAGGTCAAATCTGAGAACGAATGAGGAAAGGAAGGAAGGGGGATTTACTACAATTATTAGATTACAGCAAACCTGTCTTATTTGTCGAGATAACACGCAGTTTTGACCATGCACGACAAATAATAATAATACTAATAAACATTGTGGGAGACCAATAATTGAATGGACTGAGAAAAAAACCTAGTGAATTCTTTGTGGAACATGGAGATTTTCCTTTTAGGAAACTTTGACATCCCTTCTACCCACAAAATAATAATTGAGTTTCCCCATGTATCTATTAAACTTCATTTTAACTTTCACTACATGCCTATATTTTCATTATGTACTTTCTTCTTAAAACTTTTCCACAAAATTAATATTCAAAACCATATATATATATAATATATACACACACCTCTATGTATATAGAGATGGGGACTCTACAGTCACAGAGTTTCTCAAGACCTTTGCTGGGGGAGCCCACAGAGGGCGCCTCTATCATTGACCAGATTCTCTACTCCCCACACGTCCACCTCTCCAATTCTCCAGTCACCACACACTGCATTCTCCACCATGTATGCATGTGCACATGTTCTCTCTGCTTCATGGTTCCTACTTACCTCAAGGCCTCAACTTCCCAAATTTCCCTTAACCTCCATGGCACCCCTCCTCCTCAGGGCCTTTCCCCATTTGACCTGCAAAAGAGCACACCTAATTTTACACAAGCAATAAGTTGTAGTGTAGGATTAGAATCTCTGCAAGCCTCTCAGTGCTTGACATATGGTAAATGCCTGAATGAGATAGAAACCCAATAGCTTCTACTAGTTAGCTTTTCCAATTTTTAAGACTTCAAATTTCTAGACACTTTATTTTTTAATTTTCGTTTTTTTTAAAAACAAGGTCTTACTATATAGCCCATGTTGGCCTAGAACTCAGAATTCTCTTGCCTCAGTCTCCTCTAGACATTCTTTTTTCCTGTAATGTTATGTATAGCCTTGCAGAGTAGCTATAGACTATTTATTTTACTTATTTCTCTCACAGTGAACTCAGAGCGTCACTAAACTGTGGGTCTCTGGGCTCACCACTGTACTCCCAGGGCTCGACACAGCAGCACATGGTAGGCGTTCGTAACATGTGCGGGATAATTAAATGAACCTATTGTATAGAGAAAGCACTGTAAGCAATATAGATACTAAGTATTCTTCATAGTGTTTTTCACATAAGCCCATGTGATACCATTCAATTTGCTTGAAAATTGTCACACAAAGGGACAGAGGTTCCCTTTCTCTAACCCACTGCCAGGTGATATTCCCAGACCCGTGGAAGTAGACAGTCACTGGACTGAGTTCTAGACAATGGAACATACATAGAAATAAAAGGCTTTACCTCTGGTACATGGCAGAGAAGGGGAGATATGCCCTCTCCACATTGCCTCCCTCTCCTCTGTGTGCAGCTGAATGTAGAGGAGGATTCGCACCTGGAAGATGATGGAGCCACACAAGGGATTGCCTGGGTCACTGAAGGACTACATGGAACTTTGCCCTACATTATTTGTATAGCACTATGAAACAAAGGAAAAATAAACTTCTGTCACGTTAAACCATTTCAACATGGGGGCTATTTGTTATTTCAACTACCCTGCAATAATAATACACCCAAATGAAGTAAATTATTTATTCAGATGTTACATTCCCTCTGTATGCTAAAAAGGCCAATGTTTTTAAATGTTGAAAAGAAAAGTAGTGAATGTTACTAATCTTAGAAGTGATGAAGCCCAAGTGGGTGCTTGCAACTTCATTCCAGGTTCATAGAGCAGGCAAAGGGAAGAAAATGCTCTGAGTGAAGGAAACGTTGGCTTTTGCAGCAATCTCAAAGCTCTCACAATGGATTTTACAGCTTTGGGTTCTCCCATTATTCTCCAAAGCAAAATAGGATTCCTTGGCCTGAAAGTTTCCTTCATACTATCCCATCATATACCTGCCTTCATATCCATACTTAGCTGTAGGAAGAATTTTCTTTTCTTTCCAACTGGTTCCATAGTAACAAATTTTATGCTTAGAGTAAAATTCATGGCCCAGGTACCACTGTCAAATTCTAAAACTAAGCAAAATGGTTAACCTGGTTTCTTATAATTGTGTGAATTCCATTTCTTTAGAACTGACCACAAAATAATATCTCCACAGACTAACTGAGCCAAGAAATAAAAATTATACATCTGGAGACAAAGTAGGAATTACTCTAACACTGCACAAATTATTACCTATCTTCTCTTTCCCATGATTATGGGTTGATGATATAAGAAAGAAAATGAACATAAGCAAAAAAAAGACTGGGCAAACTTTTAGGCTGCAAAAGCTTGAGTTTGGCTTAGGCACTGAACCACCCAATGTCCCTTAGCCCCTTGGCATGACGGTTGTATACGATCATCACCCTTATCTGTTTTCCTGTGGCAAATCAGATCCATGGCTCAGAAGTCACAAGTATTAGTTTGGAGTCCCTATGTAATAAGTTGTCTCTCACATAGTATCCTGAGAAAAAGAAAAAAGGAGAAAAAGGTTTTTTGTCTTGAGCCTATAACGTGATTTAATTAAGTATAATTTCCTATTTTTATTTTATTCTTTTCACGTGTCCAAATGTGTATCATCATGGGAGTTTTATGCCACTATTAGAAGATATCATTACATCTTAAAAAAAAAAAGAAAAGAAAGATTGACACTAATGGGCCTATTCTGTTAATGAAGTGATTATTATGACCTTTGCCATCAAAGGTACTTGCTATCAACACACTACAGTTAATGCTAACATTTATACCTGGATCAGATAGTGTTTGTCAAGTTTCTCCACTGTGAGAAGTTTCATCCTTTCAGGACGTTACTATGTGCAGCCCAAGTTCTAGGAGTCCAAAGTTATGCTCCACCTCTTCCAGGGCAGAGATTCTTCATAAATTTTTGGAGTTGTTCTGCATGGGAGATTTGTCTGTTCTCCATCATTTGTTTATGTATTCAGTTATTTATATTAATGTGGACTCATGGGTATTAATTTTACATTTGGGTCATAATCTAATACTATATTTTTGTTCAACATGTTCCAGTTGTAGTAATTAGGATTTCTTTTAGTTGGTATCTGTGCCTTTTTGACACAGTCATAATTTTTTTTTTACTTTTTTTGTATTTTATGTTCCTTGAACATTTCCTTAATTTCTGGCACTACAAGATGCCCTATCCCAAGGAGTCATGAGTCATCCCTAACGAGTGTGAGAAACTTGACTCCACCCATCTGCTACCCATGTACTCAATGTTCAATTCCAGTTTACATGTATACTGAGCTCAGAAATGTTAACCTATATTCAGTGTACTATACATGTACTATACAGTGTACTACCCATGGGTACAAAATTATTACCAGTTATGCCTTTTGGAAACGGATTTACAAACTAAAGCACAATGCTTGTGTGTAGTTCTTTTGCTTTAGCCTTATAGACTCCACTCATTTCCAGATGGCTATTGCATGACTAGATGGCTATTGCGTGACTAATGCATGGGTAGTACACACAGCATGGTATGCTGAACAAAGGGATTCCTATCTTGGACACAACAGAGTGGGGCAGTGTGAGATGTCCTCATGTCACTCAGAACGTTGTGCTATTTAAAGCCCATGAGTTGTTTCTTTCAACTTACCCTTACAATGAAAACATCATCGCAATTGAGGGAAATCATTTAAAAAAAAAAGTCTGAAGAGTACACCTCAGAACGTCAAGGCTATCAAAAGCAAAGCAAACCTAAAGAACTCATTCTAAAGGAGACTCAGGAGGTATAGGGACTAAATGTGACTGGTACTCTGAATCCTGGAACCAAAAAGGGCATTAGGTCAAAAACTAAAGAATTGTGAACGAAACATAAATAATGTTTAGTTACTATTTTAAAACCACATTAGATGAATTAAAATAATATGCCATTTATAAATAAGTCACCTGATATATTTACTAAGCCTATTGAGAGTCCTGCACTGTCATAGCGCTGAGAACAAAAAGAGAAAAAGACAAGTGCCCTATGCTCAAACGCAATGATTCATGAAAACTAAACAACCATCAAACAAAGAACAAAGACTGTGTCTTCTGGAGGCAGTAAGAAGGCTTCGGGAGACAGATCTGTCAAATGAATCAATGAGTCAATTATCCGAATGAAAGGCCCCGCCTACTCCAACTCAGGAGCCCGCCCCCATCCCAAGTTGGTCCCCCCACCAGTGGTCCACCCCCATACGGGCCTAGCCAATCCAAGGACGTCTCGCGTGACGTACCTGAGATGCGTGCGCATCCACGGCCGGCGCTCCCTCCGTGCATCGATGCGCTCGGGAGCAACCTCTTCGGTCTGGAGGCGGCCGAGCCAACGCTCATCTGCGGCTTCCGCCGCCGCCATCTTGCTGGCGGGAAGAGTCAGGTGGGCGGCGGCGGCGGCGGTGGCGAGGACGGGGCGGCGGCAGTGGTGAGGACGGGGGCGGGGGCGGGGGCGGCGGCTGTGGTGAGGACCGGGGCGGCGGCGGCGGGGGCGGCGGCGGTGGCGAGGCCGGGGGCGGCGGCGGCGACTGGAACGCACGGTTTCGGCCCCGGTAGCCCCTCCACATTCACTCGTCTTCGGGCCACAGCTCGCGGTAGTGTCCCTGTTCCCACGGGCCCCGCCGTCCTGAGTTCATCTTCGGGCGCTTGTCCGCGTCTCGCCCCTCACCTGAGCCCGAACTTCGCGCGGCCGTCGCCTAACAGCCCTGGCGGGTGTGGAGACCCCTGCGTGACCGGGGGCGGCGGGAGGGCCGCAGCGTAGGTCACCAGCCGTGTGGTTTCTCTTTCCGCAGGAATCCTTCACACGGAGAACGAGTGTGCGTCTGTCCGCTCCTCCGGAAATGGCCAAGGTAAGTCCGTCTGCCGTTGCACTAGGGCGTAGAGGGACAAGAGAAGCGGAGCTCTAGCAAATGGCACAATGTAGAGTGTGATCTTTGTGCGCCAGGCAGAAAGGAAAGTGGCAGTTTGGGAATCACTTAATCGGAAAAGTCTGTAACTGCCTTTAATGCTTTTGGAAGATGAGTGGGGTTTAGGTCATTAAAGACATGGGTTGGGAGATACGGAATGAACTCCCCTCCCCATCACAATTTAGGTATTGGGCACCCTCTCTTGGGACCCCCTCCCAACTCTGGAAGCTCTAATCCTGGCGGTTTTCTATCCCAATAAACTCTCAGGCTTCACACACATACGGTAAGATATGTGAAAGATTAGTGGAAGACAAGATGGGATTGCGAGGTGAGAACCAACTAGCAGGGAGCCTTGAATGCCAAGCTAATGATTTAGACTTTTTCTTTAAATCGTGATGATTTAATCTGAGCCTTGTGTTAGGAAGATTAATGTGGCAACAGTTAGCAGAGTGGTAGGTATCCTGTAATTGCAAAGAGGCTAAAGGTGTAATTATATACACACGTCCTAAGAGTAGGGTACTAGTAAGATTAGGCCAGATTTTACGATGAGTTTTTACTTGGCTATTAGCGGCACAGGAAAGGGGTGTTACAAAAGAAGCATGTGGTACTCCTAAAGGAGGGAAATTTAATTGAACTCTAATGGAATGCTAATATTTGAGCTGATTTTCTTTGATCTAAATTAAAAAATGGGTCCAGTACAGTGATGTGTTAGAAGATACTTTTACAAATTATTTTGGAATGTAGTTCGTGTTATATTTTAGTATTGCAGTATACTTAAATTTGTGTGTTAATTGAACTAGATAATGTGTCTTGAACAATTTGGGGTACATATTAAGAGTCATAAATGTCCATGTTTTAGAATCTAGACAAACTAAACTTCTCATGCTTTGGAATATTTATTTATGACTATATTTTTTCCTCAAAGTAATAATTTTTTAATAAAATTTCCCAGATGGTATGATACCTATCGTTGATGACACACATAATCTGCTTTTCCTTAAATCTCAGAAGCTCTGGCAACAATAGACTCACAAATCCAAACGGCAATAGTTAGCAGCAAATCACTGTAGTTGAAAGAAGACTACTGCTTTTATATCAGAAAGGCCTGTTTCGGTTTGTCTACATTCTGAAGCATAGACATTTGTGACTCTTAATACGTATGTTGAGTTGACGGACTTTCCCTAAACTTAGACCTGTCGGGTCTTTTGTTTTGTTTTGTTTTGGTTTTATGTAAACAGCGAGACAGTAAATATTTTAAGCTCTGAATCAAGACTTTCTAAAACTACTTAATTTTACCATTATGTTATGAAAGCAGTCATATGCAGTTCATAATGAATGAATGTAGCTGTGTTGCAATAAAACCTTACTTACTGAAGCAATGGGGTATATTGAGAAATGATGTGCTGTCTTGTGCTTTACCTTATTCTTACTCAAGTGTTTCAGTGAAAGTTTATCCGTGAAAAATATTTCGTATTCATCCATTTGTATCTGATGTTAAGAGTCTAGAAAATGAACATAAGATAAAAAGTACGGCAAAAGTATGGGCTGAAATGAAGGAAAGTGAATGTTGCCATCAAACCACAGGAAATACCACCATAGGAGATAATTATTGTAATTTATTGTAGTAAAAGAAGAAAAGGTTAGAAAGTAAACAGATTGTGGTCCAAGAAGTGTTGCAACTTCTCTGTTTTTAAGGATACAGAATCTTACTTGCTGTTAGCTTTTTAGGGTTTCACTAAAGTGGATGACTTTCATACATTCTCTTTGTCTTATGTGGTGTTCTTTAATTCTGGAAATTCAAGAATTTTTTGTTTGTTTTTATTGGAAAAACCAAACTTTTACCCAAATTAACTTGTTTATTTAATATTTCTGTCGTCAACCTAAAATAAGTGGTAAAGAGAAAAGGTTTTCTTATGAAAGGAGTTTATCCAGAAGTGAGAGAGTGATTGTACAAAGCATGGCAAATCCTACTGGTTGGTAGGTCTGTAAGCACAGCAAGAGACAAAGGAAGGCAAGAGTTTTTAAAGAAAAAATGAGGAAAGTTATGTAAGTTGTTTTGAAACAGTAATCCTTAACTACAAGAATCAATAACAGTGTCATCACTCCAAGGCTAACAAATGGCTCCTAGGTAGGCATCCTCAAAGAAGTATTTTTTTTTGTGTAACATTGCAGAGGTCTTTGTGCCAGGTTATGGTTTTAGCAGTCCTTTGTTACAGTTCTTGTTGCCAGGCAAATACGCATGAAGAACCCCTCACCATGGTCTTCTGGCTCCATGTCAAGGTTTGACATATGTGACGTATTTTGATTCTGACAATTTTCATAGTGCTTATTTTTAAAATTATACATTATGCTTTTCACATAGCAGGTGATTGATACAGGTGGAATAAATGATGATTTTTAAAGACACCACAACATAAAGATTTGCCAGAGGTTATAACTTTTCCAGAATAGATCATTTTTTTCTGTCATTTTTAGGTGCTTTATAACAGAGTACGACTGGTTTCCTATCTCCCAGGATTTTGCTCTTTAGTTAAAAGAGTTGTCAGTCCAAAAGCCTTTTCGACTGCAGGATCTTCAGGTTCCGATGAATCTCCTGTGGCTACTTCAACTGCAGATATATGTAAGTAAAAGTTATTGCTTTATTTATAGTTGTAATAAGTTACAATTGAGTTGTGTTTCCAGGTGTTTTACAGATGTTTTTTGACATTTTGTTTAGTGCATTGAAAATAAATCAGCCCTCTAAATATTTACAGCAGAAAGTTACAATTTGAAAAAAAATGTTCCTTTACTTATGATGGAACTATATTCCAGCAAATGCATTGCATCATAAGTCAACAATGATCACATGGCTGGATAAGAACTGTAAGTCACTTCCCAATCTCAAGAGAGATTATTCTATAGCATGTCGCTACTGGGGAAAAGATCAAAATTCAGTGAATATTTCTTCATACCAACATAAAGTCAAAAATTCCTAAGTCAAGCCACCATATTTTGGGGACCATCCGTCTGTCCTCCTGGTTTTCAAAGCTTCTGAACTTTAGGTTCTTTCTGTCCCCGCTTATACACAGTGCAACCTGAAACAAATCAAATCTCTTCTTGATCCTATCAATCCCTGTTATTGCTTTTTGTTGGTGGTGGTAGTGGTACTTTGGTTTAAACTCAGTGCTCCTTACTTGCTAGGCTGGTGCTTTAGCACTTGAGCCATGCCTCCAGCCCTTCTTGCTTTAGTTATTTTTCCAGATAGAGTCTCAAGTTTTTACCCAGGACTGGCCTCAGCCAGCGATCCTCCTGCATAGCTGGGATTACAGGATAATGTACCACCATGCTCAGCTTGTCTGTTGAGCTGGATCTCCCTAACTTTTTTTGCCACTGACTGGTCTCAGTCCACAATCCTCCCACTCTCCACCTCCTGAGTAGCTACGATTACAGGCATGTACCACCACACCTGGCTTTTCTAAATTTCTTAAATGTAGCAGGCACTTTGTATGTATAATGTGTATTTAAATTGATAATTTACCTGCTATCTACAAAGTCTACTACTTCTAATCCATTTTGTACATCACTGTCATCCTAATCATTCTAACATATTTAATCATGTTAATTTTTTAATCTTGATTATCTCTCATTACTTTCAGCAACAATTCTCAAACTATCCTCAATCTAAGTCATTGCTCAGGTTATTTAATAAAAGGAATGGAAGGTTAGGTAAGTTTAAGAAGTGCAACTGTATATTTCCTATCTTAATGCAACTCCTATCGTGGAAGTTTGTAATACACACCAAAATATTAAGGACTGTTAGAAGTCTCACCTAACATTTCCCAAAGGTATCACACATGGAATCCTTTTTGCTTGAAAATAATACTACAATGAAATTTAATTTCACTTGGACGTTCAAAGCCTTCCATCTTCCCTGCTTTTCTTTCATACGTCTTCAACTTATTCCTCTATTTATATTACCTCAATACTAACCATTTATGTATCATAAATGAAACATTTGCCCTCCAGAATATGTAAGGGGTCAGTATCCTGAATACATAATGAAATTTTATAGACCAATAGGAAAGAGACACGCAAGTAGAAAACCAAAAGGCAGACAGGATAAGAACAGGCCTTTCATAAAAGAGAAACCCGAAATGAGCAGTAAGTATTTGAAATGTGATCAAATCCAGTATTAATATGGAACATTTGTTTTCTCTACAGAGAAAACTAACAAGTCCTGAGTAATTTTTAAAAATCATCTTGTTCAGACACAGATTTCATCGTAAGACAGATTTCCAGTCTGGCATTGTTACTATTTTTGTTACCCACATATCTGCATCAGTAATCATCTAGGAACTCATTCAAAATGTAAAATCTTGACCCTCACTGCCGATTTATTAAATGGGGATTTACAGTTTAACAAGATCCCAGACGATTCTTAAGTACTTTAAAGTTTGAAAAGCATTGGCTAAGGGTTTTGTTGAGCATTTTGAGACAGTGTCTAGGTTCAGTGGGAAAGAATTGCATGACTGAGGGTGATGGATGGTACTGTATATAGAAGAGAAATATGGTGGCACTGAGCTAGTGATGAGGACTATGTGGATAGGGCCATTTTTATCAACTGTGGCATGACATTAAATAAGTATTTTATTGTCAAGAAATGTTCCTGCTTTCTCTAAACTAAACTTATACTTGAGTACTTACTAGCTTAATTTTCTACCTTATTCTTTTCTGGATCTTTTTGAATTTTTTATAAGTTAGGATATTTTTAAATTTTTACCTAAAGTAATAATGGACTGTTCTATATTTTTAGTCCATATTCATGTAGTATTGCATCACATAAATATTCAGTGTTTTTTCTTCAGCCCATTAATGTTTTGAGCCACTAGGGAACCACAGATAAATGACTTTCCCCAAGGATAACCACTTTTAAGCCTGGTTTCTTTCTTTTTAGATGTTTTCTGTTTCTTTAAAAATATGACTATAAGTATTGAGTACAGTGGTACATGTCTGTAATATCAGAACTTGGGAGGCTGAGGCAGGAGGATTGCGAGTTTGAGGCCAGCCTAGACTACAAAGAAAGATGTGAAACAATTATTGTAATACATGCTATTCTTTGACTTTGCTTTTCTGTGGGGGGTTTTGTGGTTGCTTACTGGGGTTTGAATTCAGGGTCTTGGGTTCTTAAGCAGGTGCTCTACTACTTGAACCACACCCACTGCCCTTTTTGCTATATTTATTTTAGAATAGAGTCTCTACGTTTATGCCAGGCCAACCTGTACCACAGTCCTTCTATTCATGCTTCCTGCATAGGTGGGAGATAGGCCAACACCACCACACCCAGCTTTTATTGGTTAAGATGAGGTCTTGAGAAATTTATGCCTGGCTGGCCTCGAACTGCGATCCTCCCAATCGCCACCTCCTAAGTGGCTAGGATTATAGATATGAGCCACTGCTTCTGGCCCACTTTTTTTTTTAAATGTACTATTAAACTTTAAATGTACAATTAAAACTTTATGAAGTTCAGTTTTAATTTTATGAACTTTTTCATTTTTCTAATGACTATCAAATATCCTGTGTTTCAATTTAGTACTTTATTAATTTCAATAATAATGGACTTGCCTTGAGCCAACTACTGGTTGATTTAAAACAACTAGTTTTAGAAACAACATGAAACTAATTTACACTCACACAAGAAAGTAGATTTCAAAGATACAGATGTTAGGTAAAAAAAAGTCTAATTGTAGAAGAGCATCCTTTCAATCTACCAATATACTTGCCTATTAAGAAGAAAATGATCAATTTTGCTGTTCCTCTTCAGGCTCTCGAACAGTGTGGCCTGACGAAACTATGGGACCATTTGGACCTCAGGATCAGAGATTCCAGCTTCCTGGGAACATTGGTTTTGATTGTCACCTCAGTGGGACTGCTTGCCAGAAGAAAAACCAGATTCATAAAACTTTGCCTGATGTTCTAGCAGAACCTTTATCAGCTGAAAGACATGAATTTGTGATGGCACAGTATATGAATGAATTTCAGGTAAATTATTAACATCATTAGCCTTTTATTCATGTTATATTACTTTTTGATTATAATAAGCACATTACCTTCACTTTAAAATTAAAAAAAAAGAAGTCTAATCCCAATATATACAAATACAACATAAACAGCTTTTTAAAACTTGGCATTCTCCATGTTATATATTGTTTTCCATATAATTTCTTTTACTTGACTTTAGGTTATAATCTCTTTTGGATAATTAAACAATTTTTCAAAAATATGTTTCTTAACTATTTCTTCCAAATGTAGACAGTTATTTCTGTATTACTGGAATTAAATTTCCAGTAACTTAAATGTTTCATGTTTTTCACCTTTAAAAATGGCTATTATAATTTGTATATGGACTTAATTCCAGCCAACTCCTGAAGTCCTTAACAAATTTTGAAGTCTCTGAAATTGTTCAGCTTCAGCAAAATAATGTTTGCATTTTTTAAAAACAATTTCTGAGGGTTTGGGGGACTACTTTTTTTTTTTGAGTTTTGTTTAATTTTTTTTTTTTTTTTTTTTTTTTTTTAATGTACTGGAGTTTGAACTCAGCCTACTCCTGGAGCCACTCCACCAATCCTTTTTTATGTGGAGTTGGAGGTAGGGGATGGAATGAGTTTTTTCACAATAGGGTCTCTCAAACTATTTGCCTGGGCTGACTTTGAACTGTGATCCTCCTGATCTCTGCCTCCTGGGTGGCTAGGAGTACAGGTATGAGCCACTGGCACCTAGCAACTTTTGTTTAAATTTTTTTAACTGGAAATGCACCTTATAGTTTCAAGTATAGTTTTTAGTCACAGACATTTTATTAGGAACAGCAGTTGCTCACAGTAACCATGATTTTACCACATAACCTGACATTGGGACACAGTTGACTTCCTGTCTTTCTATCTCAGATAATTCTTTCTCGGTCTTGGTTTTTTTGTTCCTCCTCTGCCTACCAATTAAGTGCTATTTTCCATCGGTTTCTGTCCTTCATCTACTTGTTTAAATTATTCCATGGTCACTTTATCTCTTGGCTTTCTCCATAGGGTATGTTTTCATAATTAATTAATTCTGTTTTTGACATTTTTGGTCTATATTTGTATTCACCTACTGAACATCATTATTTGTCTCATAATCTCCCAAATTCTGTGTGTTTATTCCTGAAGTATTCTTTCCTCCCATTTAATTAGTAGTATAAATAGAATAACCATTTTCTGTCTGTTCCAAGATAAAAGATAGCACCAACCTTGACTCTACTCTCCATTATGTTCCCAAAAATAGTGCCAAAATCACATTGCTGCTTTCTGTGAAGTTCCTAAGTTATTAGTGTCCTTTCAGTTCTCTGCCAGAGTCCAAGGCTTATTTTACCTGAATTTTTCTAGGCAATTACAGCATGATGAGCTGTGAAAAGAGAGTAAATCTGGGTTCAAAGATTTTGCTCTGCCACATAACTTTGGGACTTGAGAAAGTTACTTATCCTTTCTGAACTTTTGTTTTCTAATATGAAAAATGGGGGCAATAAACAACACTGCATGCCTTTGCACTGTTACTGTCTCTTGCTGTACCTTTTCTCTTCCTGAATTCCTAGTCTGTATTCTACCTATCCTTTACCCACCAAATGCACACATAACTAATACATAGCTTAGATATGTCCAGTTCAATCATTTCCTGATTCCTCCCAGCAAAACAAGTTTCTTCCTTATCTATGGCCCCAGAAGACTTTCTTCATAACTCTGTATCACTTTTTATACTGAATTGATTGATTTATTCTTATTTTTCTTCTACTAGGTCTGATAATACCTGAGCATAAAGTATAGATTTTTAAAATTTGTTTATTTTTTATTTCTATTGTGCCTGTTCCTGTTAAAGTGCCCGATGTATTGTGGGCTATTGCAACTCAATTTTAATTAGCTAAAACCTCTAAGTTCTTCATAGAGGAGAGGCTATATTATCTGGTCATGTTAGTTTTTATATAAACATTACAATCCCAAGTTTGTAGATTATAACATAACAGATAATTAGGTAATATCACAGAATATCTGAAGAGGTAACATTGTAAGGCATAATTACTACATGTTAGTTTTTGAGCCAATTTCTGATCACATCAAATCCTAGAATGTCAGTATATTTACATGTTCATGTTCTATTTAGAATTTCTTTAAAACTTTCAGATCTTACTCATCTTAGAGAAATTTTGTTGAATTATTTTTTTAAAGTCTCTAATAAGATAAATTGTCAACTGATACGTCATTTTATTTGAATTCCTGATTTTGTTTATTTACATCCTTGTTCCCAACAGGGTAATGAAACACCTGTTGAACAAGAAATTAACAGTGCAGAAACTTACTTTGAAAGTGCCAGAGTTGAGTGTGCAATCCAAATATGTCCAGAATTGCTACGAAGAGGTATGTCACACTTTCCGCATGGAGACATTAAACGTGTAGTAGACAATATTAATTTTTCATCTGCAAAGTAAAGTATGCTGTAGTAATGCTGATGCTCTGTACCTTAATATTTAATGCATCTGGCTCAAAATGATCGCATGTCAGAGATAAGGGCTTCGGATGTCCCCTGACATCTGACCTCGTGCTGCAGTTAGGTAGGAATAATAGAATTTATAGTAACTTTTTCCCTAAAACTTGTCATTTCCCACTCCTAGTTAGTTATTGTAATATAACCTTATAAAGAAAAATGATACTAAATTTATTTGAAAATTATATTAACAGCAGTTACATGTAACACTGCTTACTCTTCAGAATTGTTGGTAGTGTTATTTCAGCTCATCCAACAAAACCAGAAGTCAACAAAACTGAGTTCATTTTACTTTTCACATATGAAGTACATTTGTAAAAATGACTTAGTACAATACTTTAATCCTTATTTTTCTAGTTATTTTTATGAGCTGTATCTCTTTCTAAAAAGCAGATTATTTTCTTTTTAGATTTTGAATCATTATTTCCTGAAGTGGCTAATAGCAAACTAATGATTCTAACTGTAACACAGAAAACTGAGAATGATATGACTGTTTGGAGTGAAGAAGTAGAACTTGAAAGAGAAATGCTGTTAGAAAAGGTAATTTTTAAACATAATTTTATGATCTAATTTCAGTATCATTTAAATAATGCTTTAAAATGATGAATCTTTTCCAGTCCATTTTGTGAAGTATTTCAAAATACTGAAAAATTTAAGTCTTTTTTGAGAATTAAAATGCTGATTTTTAGTGTCCTTGAAAAACAGATTCCATTCATTACTTTTCTGAATTTTTCTTAAATTTATCATGTTTCTTTCTCTTTGTTTCTCTTTCAACCTCTCTCTTCCCTTTCCTCTCTCTCTCTCCTCCCCTCCTTTCCACCTCTTTACCTTTCCCACATTATAGCATATCAAGTAAATAGCATTACTCTAGATCATCTCCAAGGAGTAAGTAGTAATAGTATATAGTACAATAGTAGGACTGGGCACGGTGGTGCATGCCTGTGATCCCAGCTACTCAGGAGGCAGAGACAGAGGATGGAGGTTTTTGGTCAACCCAGGCAAAGAAGTTTTACCAAGATCATGTCTCAAAAAACAAACAGGTGGAGGGAGGTGGTTGGCACACTTCTGTAATCCCAGCTACTCAGGAAGTGGAGGTAGGAAGATTTTGGTTCAAAGCTAGCCCTGGGCAAAACCCCATATGAAAAATAAAGTAAAGCAAAAAGGGCTGAGGAACATGGCTAAAGTGGGAGAGAGGCCTCTTAAGACTTTGTTGTTAGATTATATCAATTTCTTTGTCTACAAAGTTAGAAAAGAATATTCTTCTGTTTACATACTTACATAACTGATTTCTATACAGGATAATGTTAGGAATTATTTTATATTTTCTTTAGGGTTAGATGTTTGAGTCTCTGCATTTGTAATAATTTAATTTACATATTCAATATTTTATTATAAAAACTTCATACTTCAACGTCCCACATAGAACTCTCCAGTAAATTTCATGTAGTATCTGAGAATTTTGAACATATTAGTCATGCACTAATTAACAAGGACTTTATAGAGGGCATAAAACAGTTTTTCTAGATTTCAAGGAGGTCTGAATGTAGAGGGTTGGAATTTAAATAAGCAGTAACTAACAGTAAACATTCAGACCAATAAATATTTTACTTACATATAAAGGTAATGCTTAGTAAATGTATACCGATCGCCACTGCTATTGAACTGCTTAAGAGCTCTCATAACTGCATTGCACTAGTGGTCCTAATTTCTAATCAGTTAAAAATTGTGACCCTAATTTGATACTGACTCCAGTATAATTCTCATTTTTCTTTAACAAGTTGTAGGACTTTGAAATAGCCACTATGTAATGTTGAGATTTATAATGCTATAATGATTGAAACCATTTCATTTTCTATAAAAAAAACATTCGATTGAAGTATTTCATGATTATTTTGGAAGCACCCCTAGCTAATTCTCCAAGTACATATGTTTTTATGGTTTAACCTATTATCATTTTTTCTAACAGATGTCAGTATTTGTTGTTGATGAACATAATTTAAGAGAAACACTTAAACATTCTTCTTGTAATAATACGGTATTCTTTTAGTTAACCATTATGAATATTTGATTGTATTGTTCTGCTCTCTTTGTAGTTTTTACACATAGCACGTTTTAAATTGAAATTGAAATTTGTTCTAATGACTTATTTTTAAGAATTATGGGGATTAATAAAGCACAGTAATAGATAATAAATATGAGCAGTAGCTTACAGAATACGGTTTTGTTTCGTTTTATGTTAATCATTAGTTTACATGTAAATGTTTGGAAAAAATAAGTTAACTTAGATGTGCCTCTATAGTAGGGGTCAGCTAATTTTCTATAAAGAATAAAAGACAAAATTACAACAAATTTAGTTTTGTAAAAAGTGAAACTTTTGACAAGTTAAACTTAATAAGGTTTATTTGAACAAAGAATGATTCAGAAATGGGCAGCTTATAGAACTCGAATGAGTTCAGAGAGCTCTCCCAAGCCTTGTGAATAGAGAAGGTAGTATTTATAGGCAGATGGTAGAAGTGATAACCAGAAACTACTCAGAGCTTGCCTTATTTGAAAGTGGTATAATCAGTTGACAGCCTGTGACTAGCTGACACATAGCTTTTTTGGTTACAGAACGTACTCCTAAATTAGGCTTTCCGTTTCTTTGCATACTGTCTGGTTGCAGTATGTTGAGACTTAAGGTAGGGAGGCAGCCTCAGGTCAGATTTAACAGTTTACAAATCTAGGTGGCTTTCTCATTCTGTAAAATAGAATGAATGCTCCCATCAGGTGAGCAGAGAATTTGAGCTACATAGATAGAAAAGGGCTGGCTGAAGAAAGTAGAAACAGAGGATCTTCTTTCAAAGTTTCTTTTCTTCTTAGGAAAAAATAGATGGGCTGACTCAGTTAAATTAGGCCCCTTCTAACTAGTTGCTATCAATCTCCTGCCTTTTTTTTTTTTTTTTTTTTTAACTGGCCTGATAACTGGTTACGTGGCAAGTAGCATGAAAACTGCATTCTGATTTGGCCTATTCTGCTGGTGCCCAGTACAAAAACAGTGACCTCCCATAAACTTCATTTAACAAAGATAGAATCTGAGCCTCTTAAGTGGATGCCTGAAACTAGATATGTTTTCTTCTGTACATTCATACCTATGATAAGGTTTAATTTATAAATTAGGTACAGTGAGAGAATAAGAGCCAATGCTACAGTTATAGTAACATTACTGTAATCAAAGTTATGTCTCTCAAAATATTTTATTGTACTTTACTTTTACTTTTCTGTTTTAAAGAACACTTGTCTTTGGCATATCCTGATTGCCTGCATCATCATTCTTGCTCTTTACTTGCTCATAATCACTGTGATACATCTGTGGTTGATGTGATAGTCTAGACAGCTCGTAAGTGATGAACAGGGAGATAGCAAACACAGTGTGGATGTGCTGGACAAGGGGGTGATTCACATCCTGGGCAGGATGGAGCTGGAGGGCATACTATTCAGAATGGCATGCGATTTAAAACTTAGGAATTGTTTGTAGAATTTTCCATTTAATATTTTTGGAGGGCAATTGACTGCAGGTAACTGAAACCACAGAAAGTAAATCCTCAGGTGGAGGTCTCCTGTATCGTAGGCATTGTGGGCTATTGAATCTTGGCTATCATATCCATCTTTTATTATTAAAGCAACCATAGATAATATGAAAGTGAATGAATGTTGCTGTATTCCAATAAAACTTTTTCCAAATATGCAGCAAGCCAGATTTGGCCATAGGGCTGTAGTTCGCTAGCTTCAGACTTAAAATGTATCCTGCATTCCTAAGTCTTGAACTTTTGAGTGTCTCAGCTAAAGAGTGGGTCAGAAATCCACATTTCCAAATACAGAGTGACCCGATACCACAGTTCAATTCCAACCTGACACCTGGCAGTCTGTGGTAGGCCTCAGAATCTTGCCTCTTGCTTGTAGCACTGAGTCCTTTGCTAAGGAACAAGGGTGAGTTGCTCTGTAGGCTACTCAGGAGCTTTATTCTGCATCCCTCTTTTTTCAGTGCTCTCCCCTACAAATCCCAGGTGCTTCAAAACTCTTGCTTTCTACCTCCTAAGCTCAGTGACACTATCACTCTGCTTGAGTTCCACTTCTTTGCCCTCCTTTTGACAAGAAAATGTCCTCAGGAAAAGAGCTAGATCAAATGTGAGGATTTTGTTTGTCTTCTCTCAAAGAACTACAGTCTTGTCTGACTGCTTTTCAGAGTCTAGAAATAGTTGCTTTATTATATATTTGACCAGTTTTACAGTTTTCAGTAGGACATTGAGTTTAGTACTTGTTATTCTGTTGTGGCTACAAGTGAAACTATGCCCTTATTTTTAAACTCTTGTAATATTTTTTTCTAGCATGTAATCTAGACTTAGTATTTGTTGCCATCTTTTAACTACTTACACTTCTGATAAAGCCAGTAGAGACATAGAAATTAGGATAGTGAAACCAGAATTTTGATGTATGCATGTAATACCTAGCAGGTAAACACTATGTATACAAAAGATACACGGGTATAAAATGAAAAGTACACTGTCCATCTTTCTACTACATGTGTGCAGTTCAATTTTGGTTTTCTCCTGAGGTGCTGGGAATCTAACCCAAGGTTTTGTACATACTAGGCAAATGCATTCCCACTGAGCTACATCTCTAGCGCACACACACACACACACACACACACATACATACACACGTTCCGCCCTGCCTGCCCTGCTTCCAGGTAAAACCTGTTCTGCCCTTTCTTTCTCCCATTTCATTGAAGAGATAATAAGAAAGACATAGTGTTTTTGCTAGTTTGTGGTAAAGGTACCTATACAGAGAGATTCCTAGTGTTGCTTCCATTCACATGTGTATTGCAACCCACATTGGTTCATCTCTGCCAGACCTCTTTGCTACTTCCTGGTCCCATTCCCATACGGTCCTCTGCCAGTTTAAGATTAGTATATTCACTCCTCTACAGTTAGCACATCAACCACATTCAAGTTTTAGGTTTCCTTCCATTTCCCTATTCTTCCCATGTGCTTTTTCCTCTTAATGTGTGAACCATGTCCAGTAATATTACTGTATTTGTTTTAGGTCTATAATCCACATGTGAGGGAGGGAGAACATGTGATTTTTGGCTTTCTGAGCCAAAAAATATTTCTTAACTGTTTTGCATGACACACAAATAAATACATAGTTTTTCTTAAAACAACTTTCTTTCAAAGTAATGAATGGTTCAGATCACTTCTTTATCTTTTATTTTCCTTTTCTTATAATCTCCATAGTGATATGAAATAGTGGCTATAGTTATATCAGATTTAGGAATTAATAGTACAAAATGGATTTAGACATATTTCATAACCTAGGAAATAATGTAGAAGAAAAATAGTAATTCAGACTTTTTAAGAGAAATTAATTGTAACTCAATATTTTGAAGTGGAGAAAGTCTTACGACTTTACAATTTTTTATAATTAATCTTACTGAGTTCTCAATCTGAAACACAAGATACACTCATTTAAAAATTTGTTTAAAAATATAAAACCATTCATAGTGATCCAGTGTTGAGTAGTATTTGTACTGTTTTCTTTGCAGTTCATTAGTGGTGCTAAGGAAATTTGCTATGCCCTTCGAGCTGAAGGCTATTGGGCTGACTTTATTGATCCATCATCTGGAGTGGCAGTGAGTAATTAAATACATTTTGAAAGTCAAATTATATGAAACAGGAATGATTTTTATTATAAAATTATTTATGATTATACTCTTGCTAAAAATATATCATTTAAGACTTTTTTTTCATTTAAGACTTTTTAAGTCTAACAGTTTTATTCAAAGTGCTATGAATCACTTGCTTTCACAGTTTTTCATACCTCTATTAGTCACAGTTCAGTTTGTCCAACACTTTAATTTTTTTATTAAAAATAACAAAACCAATAATTTTTACCCTTACTAGCAGATGTGATTTGATTTACACTGTATTAGTTCATTTACAATTTACAAGCTGAGAGTTAGAAATTAATGTCTGTTCTACTTTGTTTAAGGAAGTTACTAGTATTTTTAGAAGTGAAAATATAAATGGCAAAAAAACTAGTAAGTTTTAGTTAACTTCTGTAAGGTCATACTTTGGAGAAAATTGCACAAATACCAATTACGACATGTAATAAAATCATTTTTTGAATTTTAAGATAGAAGTAGGTATATAAATATAGTATAGTATAGATTGGAAATGGAAATTTTTTGCTGTGGGCTTTGGTTTCCTTATCTTGAGAATGATAAAGGTAATCCTTAGATGATTCTCTAAGTATTATTCATCTTTGAAGTTCGTGTAATGTTAGACATTCAATTTTTGGTAACATGAAATTTGTTAGATCATTCATTTCACATTTCCAGAATGAACAGATACTGGGGAAGGTTACATATTGCATGCTACCTTTTTACTTATTATTTTTAAAATATTTGGAGTATTAAAATGATATGTATTCTCATTTGCATAAAAATTGTTTCTACACTTTTTTTCCTAATGAAAATATTGCCTCCTTTTTTATTTCCTCCAGTTTTTTGGACCTTATACAAACAGCACTCTTTTTGAAACAGATGAACGCTACCGACATTTGGGATTCTCTGTTGATGATCTTGGATGCTGTAAAGTGATCCGTCATAGTTTCTGGGGTACCCATGTGGTTGTAGGAAGTATCTTCACTAATGCAACACCAGACAGCCATATTATGAAAAAATTAAGTGGAAACTAGCAATAATGTCATGTTATTTGCAATACTACTTGTGGGTACTGGATTGATCTATATGAACACTGTCAGAGACCTCACCTTTTAAAATATACTTATTTTAAGTATTTATTTCAGCATTTATGGATTTACAACATTGGCAAGTGACTTGGGATTTCAAAATCTCAAATGTTAATTATTCATATCATTGAATACATGTTAAACACATCCACAGTCTACAGAAGAGTGTGGTAATTAACATGTAACCAGGGTATGATTTCTTATTGTTAATTCTCTTTATTGCAAAATCCTTAGTTTTAATTATTTTTTTCCAAAAATAAATCATACATATGGTTATAACTTGTGTTTTTTCATTGTACTATTTAAAAAATACTGTTCTAAATAATTTTAAAGAAGTTATAATATGAATATTTCACGTTATTTGTTTTTAAATAATGCAGTTGAGAATTCTGAATTTATTATAGACTTTTGACTTTTCCTTTTTTCCTTATCTGTTAAGCATCCAAGTACCAGTTTGAGTCTTACTTTGAAATAATATATGGGCAGGACAAAAAATAGAAACAATACATCTTTATGTATAAAAAGCATACGAATCTCATTCTTAGATACACTGAAAAATTAATTCTTAACTCCTAAGTTCAGACACATAAATATAGTTTAGTTTTAGATAAAACTTTACCTCGGCTGCCAAATCACCTATCTCTTCACTGTTATTTAAAGAAGTGCCTCAATTGTGATAGCTTGTTTTGATAGCACTATAAACTTTGAAACAATCATCCTTTTAGTGAGCTCTTGCCAATAGAAATAGACACATCTCAGAAGAAAAAGTAACTTCTACCAAATGAGACAACTGGAATGAACTTTTTTTACTTTTTCTTTTTTAGTGAAATGCCTGTTTTTAAAAGGACTACGTAGAGATGACCAGCTTTTAAATCACAACTTGATTTAAAATTCTTTGCTCAGTTAACATAAGCATTGCTTATGATCCAAGCATTGAGCTACAGTTTTTTATTATGAAAAAGATGAAGTAATGATTCCTCTAGCATTTTGGGAAAAACATGTTTTAAATTTATCATGCACACACACATGCCATAGATGCATTGTAAGCTTTCATCTATATAACCAGCACAAAGATAAAAGCACAGGATATCCCAGAACCTTACCTTGCTCGCTTACAGGCATTTCTGCCCCCTTTCAAAGGGAACAATTATTCATATATCCTATAGCATAAATGTGATTTTTCTGTTTTTATACTTTGTATACCTGAAACCATGTAATATGTTCACTTTTGTCTCTGGCTTTTATTCAGATATTTCCTGCCTTGCACCATTCTTTAAGCCATGTTGCCTTGACACTTCAACATTTGTTGTCACAATTACAAAATACCATCTACTGCTTGAAAATGATACTTATTCCTTATAGGTGGCTGTAGCTATATACTATGCTGTATGGAGGATAGGGTACATCGTGCACAACTTCTTTTTTTATTTATTATCTTGCTTTCTAACAGCATTACCAGAAAACAGTTAAGCAGTTCACTGTGAATAAAAAAGTTTTTTTCTGAGATGTTACAGCAAGACTCAAGTTTTAGAAATATAATCCAGTAGGTTTATCTATGATAATAGTAGAAAGAATCTGTTTATTATATACTACAATGAGAAAATACCTCAGGAAACAGTTTCATCATGTTTACTTGGATAAGAAAATATTTGTAAAACTGACCATCTAAATAAACATAACAGATAGTATTAAAACCCAGCACTGGAACTTGGCTGTTATTCCATTATTTATATACATTTCTTTCCTATATTTGCTTTTCATGGTTATCAAGAAGTCAAAAATGTCTGATTAAAAGGAATTGTACAATTTAACCTGAAGGAATTTTAGGGTTAATTAATACTAGCTGCTACATTTTATAGATAAAGAAATTTAGGAATCCATTCCATTGAACTCTGCATGCTCTGAATTTCTTTGAAAATGTATTGAAGTGTATATCTGAAAATTTAATTATAGAACACAACACTTCAAACAAAATTTCTCTGGCTTCAAGTTTAAAGTCTGCCACTTGTAATATCAACCTAATCCTAATGTTTAATATTTAAACTACATTCTGGTTTTAGTTTGAACTCTATTTCCTCTTCTTCTGACTGGTTCTGTTGTTGCTCCCAAGCAGGGTTTGTCCACCTCTATAGTATTTGTATTTTGAACGTGATAATTCTTTATGGTGGGGGCTGTTCTATACAGGGTAGTATGTTTAGCAGCATTTCCTGCCTTTGCCCACTAGACACAGCAATGAACCCCCTGGTTGTGACAAAAATGGCCACAGACATTGCTGTATTTCCACTAGGGGAAAAAGTACTTTAGCTAAAGTCAGATTTAGCCATGAGTTCTGTACTTTTATCTGACAACACTACCTCCAGTTAGAACCACTGACTCAAGGCAACTGTCCCCAGCTTTAGCCATATCTGACAGGACGTGTAATGATACGGATAACTTTGCCCCATACCCACAGATTGATTTCATTAATTCAAGAGAGTTTGGATAGCAGTGTTCTTCAAAAGCTCTGTAGGTATTTCAGTTTGCAGTCAAGGTTAGAACCATTAGTGTGTTCTAAAGCTTAGTGCTAGAGGACTAAAAAGGGATCTAAAGGAATAAGAGAAGAATAGGATCATGGATTTACTGTATTCAAGAGATACAAAAAAAATGAAGACTGATACTTTGTATCAAAAGTGACATAAGATCAGGCATAGTGCCTCACACCTGTAATCCCAGCTACTTGGTAAGCAAATGGGGAGGATCATGTTCAACACTAGCCCAGGCAAAACTTATAATAAGCCAGGCATGGTTGTACATGACTGTAATCCCAACTATGTAGGAAGCATAGGTAGGAAGATCTTGGTCCCAGGCTGAAGCAAGCAAAAACACAAAACCCTATCTGAAATAGCTAAAGCAAAAGGGGGGTGAGGGTGTGGCTCATTTGCTAGAGTGCCTGCCTAGCAAACTCAAGGACCTAGTTCAAACCCTAGTACTAAAAAAAGGAAGCAAAAAACCAGTGACCTGATGGGACCCAAATCAGTTTAAAGATGCCTTCAAGTTCTACTTCTTCCACAGTTAATTGATCTTTTCTTTCCCTTACATTGTGTATTACTTGGTTAACCTTGCTATTTTGCGCTTTATTATATAGTAGTACACAAGTCTTTGGGATTTTGGTTTTGTTTGATCCTAAATTTTGCCTTCCATCCCTAAAAAGTAGAAACCCAATTCTCTGTTGACAATAGCACTAAACATGCGGTAATAACCTTCATTCTTATCCTCTCAGTACTAACCAGGATATTTTAAACTTTCATACTTTTTTACCTGCCTCCCCTTTTGTGCCAAGTACATGTAAAGTATAACTTAATTATCCAGAAAATTAATTTTGTTGTCTTGCGGTACTGGGGATCAAGCCCAAGACCTTGTGCTTGCTAGGCAAGTGCTCTACCACTGAGCTACATCCCCAGCCCATATCCAAAAGATTTAATTTGAGGCTTTGAGCATTTTACTTCCAATTATACTAGAAATTGTTATAATGACTTAACCATGTCACTTCTTTCCAGAGTATATAAGTGGTTGGCTGATGATGAAGATGGTAGTACAGTGAGAAAAGGGTGTTCTCTTCAATATATATTGCTGGGTCATTGGATATACATGTATGGAAAGTAATGTATTTTTACTATTTTACATCATACGCAAAAATCACCCCCACATGGATTGCAGGTCTACATGAGAAAGGTTAAATAAATACATATACAATAAGAGATCTGTATCTAGGACTGGAGGTGTGGCTGAAATAGTAAGAGTGCCTGCTTTGCAAGTGCAAAGCAGGAGCTCAAATCCCAGTCCCACACACACACATCAAGATAAATAAAATATATATAAAGTCCTAAAATGAGTATGTAAAAAACCAACAAAAATAAAAGACAAATATTTATAAAGATAACCCAAATGGACAATAAACATGATTAAGTCATCAGAAATACAATTAAATCCACAACACCACCCCACTACATGTCTCATACATGGCTAAAATGAAAAGATAGTAAATGTTGGCAGAGATACAGAGCAATTTATACCATTGAGATGGGAGTTGCAAAATGGTGAAAACACTTTGAAAAATAATGCGATAGTTCTAACATATCTGAGGACCTGTTAATTCCACTCTGAGCCTAGACCCAGTAGAACTGCATACATGTTCACCAAAAGATGTGTTACTGTACCAGCACATTTACTCCTATAAAAGGCCACACCAGCTATGTAATAGTTAAAGTTAGAAATTACTCATGCCAATAAACACTAAAATGGATATATCAGTTGTGGCATATTCACAGAAATGGGATGTGTAAATAATGAAAAGTGTTTCATGCTCATTTGCAATAAAATGGAAATTAATAAGCATAATGCCATGTGAAAGAAGCCAGACCAAGAGAATATACCGTATAATTCTATTAATAGAACATACAAAAACAGAACTATGCTTCTAGAAGTCAGGATAGTGGTTACCCATGAGAGGGGAAAGGTAATGCTAGTGTTTGAATCTGGAATGCCTTCCCTCCCCAAGGGTATATGTTAAAGGATTGGTTGCCAACCTGTAGGCTTTCAGAAGATGGTAGAACCCTTAGAGGGGGGGCATCGTAGAAGGACGTTAGGTCATTGGGCATGTGCCGTTTCTTCCTCTCTTTGCTTCCCAGCCAACATTATGTGAACAGACTTCCTATACCACTTGCCCCTACCATGATGTACTTATGTCATCATGGGCCCAAAAGCAATGGGCCAACCAACTAGACTGGAACTGTTGGCCAAAATAGGCCTTTCCTCCTTTTACATTGATTATCTTAGGTAAGTTTTTTCACAGTGACAGAAAGATAACTAGCTCATGGAATGACTGGATGATGGACAATGGTGATTCCAGAATGTTGGTAATGGGTTTTCTGTGTTTTTCTGAATTTTAGTGTCTACTGCTTGAGTAATTAAGTTGAGCAAACATGCACCTTGTTAATGATTTGAATGTGAAATGCCATCCATAGGCTAATGCGTTGGATACTAGGTCCTCAGCTGGTGGAACTATTTTGGGAGATTCTGGAAACTGGAACTATTTTGGGAGACTGGAAACTTTAGAAGATGGGGCCTAGTTGGAAGAAGTAGGTCACTGGGGGTATATCTTCCAAGGTTATGAGTGATTGCTGTTCTCTTCCTCTGGCTCTGTTTCCTGTCCTCAGTGAGGTGAAATGCCTCCTCTACATGCTCCCTCCACCATGAGATTCTGCCCAAGTGCGTGGGCCAAGCAACCATGGACTGGACCA